AAGTAATTGATGGATTGTAATTTTAAGCAGTTGCGCGCGCCTTCTTGCACGCGCTTGAGAGTGAGCGTACACGTTTGCTTGTTTGAATGTAACAACGTATTGTAACAGTTTTAGCCAAACTGAAGAGGTTTGAATAAACGAAACTTGTCTTAAGGCTAAAATAAAGACTAGTGCGTGAAAGACTATTCGTAAAACTCCGTACAATAGTTATGAGGATTATTCTTGGTAGTTTCAAAAGAGCTTATTTTAGCATAACAGAAAATTAACACAGTCAAACCCAAGTGGTCAGGAAAAAAAACCTTAACAAAGCAATAAGCGACTAAGGTGTAGTTAGTACATCAATTGCTTTTCAAATGGCCATCGTGATGAGGTTTTCTTGATTGAGGGAAGAACCTTAGTGGCCATTACTGCATTGTAGGGTGGTGGCCGTGTTGAAGAGAAGGAAGCATAAAATGGAATTTAAGGACTCTCAGTCGGAACAAAAAGGATTGGCCTTCGTGGAAAAGGACTGAGACGCTACGCAGGTGGCTATTAGTAAAGGTTTAACTGACGATGAGTTTTAAATTGGAAGAAAACTTACCATATTTGAGAACAAGTAGCGCAGATCAAAGATTGGCAAACGTTTCTTAAGTAGTTCCTTCCGTGAAAGAGACGCTGGTGTGAATGCGTGCTTCACCCGGTACACCTTTTTTATAAGAATTTATTTTAACTAATCAATCAAAGTTAACTTCGAAATCTCCTGTTACAAATTTATCTCTTGTTTCTTTTTAATCTCTTGGCACACTTTCAGGTTAGAACCTAATATGGTGTAACTTAGTGAAAACAAAAATGTATTAGTAAGGACTTTATTGCTGAATCTAGATAAACATACCTATCTACCTATCTAATGTTACAGGCTAAATATAAAGATAAGCTGAATACCAGTACTGAATACTATACTTTATAAAATGTGATTACATAACATAGGACAGAACACTTCCTGGGTTTGGAAAGAAATTGATTTTCTTTTACCTTGTGTTAGCAAAAAAACTGAATTTTAAAACAAACTGATGATAACATGGTTTTATCAATAGTCGTGTTTTAAAAGACATCCGCCGTCTCAACAGACCAAATTAATGGCGTCAATAGGGCCATTTATGAGAAAAGGTCAACACGTGTCTTACATAATACACATCTTACGTAAGAATGAAGCGAATGCTGCGTTTTAAATTTCACTCTTCCTTTGAAATTAGAAACGAGTAGGCTAAGATATGAGACCAATAGCCTGTACACAGACGTTGTTTTATTTTTCTTTTCGTTCTTTTCGAAAACATCGGCGAGCGCGCGAGAAAGAAAAATTAAGAACGACTGTAGACATGTTTGGAAAAAAAGGGATTTATAAGTCCCTCCCTCATGTCAACGCTTTTTCATTATCACCTCCGCTTTTACAGTACCAATTAAATTTGACCCAGGTTATTGGGGATATAAATTGCTCATGTAATTGGCTTAAGTAGGCAATGACTCTCGGACACTCGGAGTCGCGTGTTTGTTTTCAAAGCATGTCTTGTCAGACGGCTTCAACGTCGAAAAAGCCGGCTAAAAGAGGTCCGAAGCCAAAATAAATTCGCCCATCGAATTATTGTAGGATATGTGGGCGCTGGTTATACGTCGATAGTACTGGGCAATCATCCCGTTTCCGTAAAGCTACAGAGAATCTTTTTATTGAAACTTCGTGAAGGTGTTACAAAAAAAAAAGTTGAAAAAGATCTTAATCTTACCGTTTCGCAAACAGAAGATCAGTCAAGTAGGGTTTGTTCGCTTTGTAGTAATAAGGTTAGAAGCACCTGGGCTGAATGTTCTATTATTAAAACCAGCTTTCAATAAAGTGAGCACGGCGATGGCAGCTTTCGGTTTAAAAGAATGTCCGCATTTGTCTTTTATTTGTCGTTTATTTTTTGTCTTGAAGAATATGAAATATGATTTAAAATGCTAATTACGACATTTACGGTCGCTTCATCGTTTGGCTGAAGTCCTGTTTGCTTAACGCCTTAACTCATTTCACTAACGTTTTGTAACCCTAGAATATCGATTTCTACAGTTCTTACTACTCTGCTTTTATGTCGAAGCATTTTCTTTTGAAGGGGGATCAACAGCACTGCCTCAAGACGGGATCGGGAACAACATGGAAAAACGCCGCCATCTTGGTTGTTGCACGTGCTTAAGTATCATGACATGGTTGCTAAGCACAATTATTTCGTACTCTGTGAATACATTACTACCATTATACTTTTTATTGCTAACAACTAATGTAAGCTTACTTATTACACGCGGGGACGTGTGGGTCGTCCTAGTGACACCCGCCCCTTTGAAAGTCAATGTTAAATGTTGTTAAGCTAAATAAGAAAGCGATGCCAATGNACTCTGCTTTTATGTCGAAGCATTTTCTTTTGAAGGGGGATCAACAGCACTGCCTCAAGACGGGATCGGGAACAACATGGAAAAACGCCGCCATCTTGGTTGT